TACCAGTAAAGTGCATTATATGGAGAAAATCCTGGAATGTTTTCATCAAAAACCTTAATTTCTTTTCGACTGAAGAAAGAAAGACATGGATATCTTGGATGACATGAGGATGAGTAAATTATCAGCAAAAGTTTTTTTTAAAAAGTGAACTACTCCTTTAATGACGTCACACCAGTTTGTTCTTTGAATTTCCTAGATCTATTATCAAAGCCTTAAAGGAGTCATATAATGCCATTTTTGTACAAGTTAATATGAATCTTTAGGGTCTAAATGAAAACTTTGTAATATACTTTTATTAAAAATTCTCATTAGTATTGTAAGAAAACACTAATTTTACCTGGTCAAAAACAACTCTGTTTTCAGCATGGCATTTCAGTGCATATGCCTTTAAATGATAATGAGCTTCGCTCACTCCACTCAACTCCTGTTCTTAGGGCGTTTAGAGTGTTGCCTTAACAATAGTTGAGGCTATATTTTGGAGAGAGAATGGCAGCGGGAGTCTCCGAGGACACATCTGTGCAACCGAACAAAATGACGGCTGCAAAGACGTTCGACAGTTAAGGCTCGAACAGGACGTTTCTGAATGGTTGATTAACGTAATGTCACTTTGATATATCTTTGTATGCACTGGGAGGGTAGAGTAGTGAGATACGAACGCTATGTGTTGACTGATGTACAGGTTAGTTCGCTGACAGATTGATGTTACAGTTAATGGTCATGAACAACTTTTTTTTTCACGATTTGCAAAGATTAATATAATTAATACAACTTTACACTCACTTCTTCTGGAGGTGCAGCAGGGACATGAATAGTTTTCAGGAGCAGCTTCTTAGCAAAACCAGCTTTATACGGAGTCTGATCCTCGTTTATAAAGCAGTTTGGTGAGAAATGATTCGCGCAAACATAAAAGCATTGACGTTGATCGTGGGGAATATTCCCTTCGAAAACAAAATTCAGCAGTTCGGATTTAGGAGCATCAAAATGGCCGTGTTCGCTATTAAGGCCAATTTATACTTCTGCGTCGAGGGTACGCCATTGTGAGCATTTATACTTCTGCGTTCAGGTCTAGATTGTTCTGCAGTACTGCTCCAAAACGCTAGTTGGCGGCGGAGGGTTTTAATGTTCCACTGTGTTTAGATTCCTGTATAAACGATAAACAATAGCGATTGAAAGAGACCGGATCATCTTGGAGTTGGAGCTTATTGAGGTGGAAAAACAGTTAATTTTAGTGAAATTAATAAAAACCGAAAGGCAGAAATGAGAGAAGACGTCAGAGGAGATGGTACGTGCGGAAATGCGTGAGAAGGTACGTGCGGAAATGCGTTGGAGGAAATGCAATGCTACCAAGCCGACCAATCACCGATCTTGCGGTCCGTGTCGTCGCAACGTGTAGTTACATTTTTGAAGAGGTGCGCGTCAGGCTACGGCGAAGGGTACGCGGTATGGGACGCGTCTGTGCGTATGCTACGCCGTTACTACTGCGCGCACCCTACGCAGAAGTATAAATTGGCCTTTACACCCAAGAACAGAACACCACAATCGCTTAGACGCCATTCTGCTCCAGCGTATCAACAATGACGGACTATGATGACAGCTCGCTCAGGGCGGGGATGTGATGAAACGCTGCCGTCAATCAACAATCGTGGGAGGGGCGTCACAAAAATCGAACGGCTCAATTTGAGGCGGGGGGAAAACCTAAGGAGATTAAAACAAAAACACTGGATGGACTTTTATCATTATATGATGGGTGTGTGTGTACAGGCACTGCAAACACACATTTCAGTACAAATCAACTTATAAAAGTGCATGTAGCATTATATGACCCCTTTAAAAACAGTAGAAGCTTGGGCCCACTAGGGGGCCTCAGTGAACTACTAAGTGGGCCCTAACAGTGTGCAAATTATTTAAATGTAGAAATTTAAAACTGCATAACATTAAACTGAGAAGTAGTACCAGAGGTACATTTCAGTATTTATAGGGGACAATGTGCTGTTTGCTGCAAATATTCAGCTAAATAATTCCTCATTATTAAGTCCTTTTCATAAATTACTTTAGAAAAGTGTTTTTTGGACCCTGGCTGTGTGAGGAATGGGAGGTTGGAATCCCTCTACTGTGTGTCTAAAGCAACACTCGTGTGCTGTACAGTAGCCTACAAAGCCCTCTCTAACTTAAACGCTTCCTGCTGGGTGTCCCGCTGCGTCAGCCTGATATAGCCGCAGTTCCACTCGTTCCTCTGACATCAGCAGTCCTTCATCCAGTGCCACAGCAGCTTCCTCTACAGCCTAGCAAAGCAACAATCCCAGGCTCTCTCAAGATGACTCTCACAGAGTCATGTGTGCTAACCACACGTGCAAGTGTTCTTCTGTAGATACGCTAATTGCTTTCCCTGAACTCACCGAGGAGTCCACACCAGTCAGAAGCATGACACGTCTGTTAACGTGTGATAGTATTACAGCGAGCGGCGTAGAGCTCAACGAATCTCATATCCCTCCCGCTGTAACTCAGACCACGCTACCGAACTGAATAATTAGCTAATTAGCATCTTCAGAGGGACTTCAGCGACTAATTATTTCAGCAGCAACAGGGCGAGGAAAAAAAGAAGAGAGGATGGAGGTACAACAGACTCGAGAGCGAGAAAAACGGAGAGCATAAACAGTTGTTTGAGCACGCTCAGACAGAGCAGTCAAGTCATGCCTGTTCACGGAGCTTTTCCAATGGATCACAATCCGTGAACCTCGAAACCGCCATCACTCTCGAAGCGATAGTGCCGTGATTTACCGTAATATGGATGAAGTATCTGCATTTATGTGTGTGCGCGCACAGACTTTGCTTTATGCGCCCCTGGGGCTCTCGACTAAATCAGTTGACTTTTCCTGCTCTCGCTCAAGGCCACATTTACATGAGAAAAAGTCTGAGGTACAAAATGAGAGCGGCTCTGTTCTTTAGACTGAAGCAGGTTTTCAGAATTCATCTTTTAGAAGCGCAGCAACATAAAATAACGCATCAATAATATATTATCTAAATGCGTAATTATACAACTTTTGATCTGATTAGCAGTGTTCATTGTCGTTGTTAAATGCAGAGACACACTTGTGACCAAACATCATATATTAATGTGGCATGTGACTGTGTTGCTTGGCAACTGTGAGGGCCGAAACTCTGTGCAAACTGTTAATAGATTAAACTACTAAACTACTGCAATAATCCATAGTGTGGAACAGTGATTTTACAAAAAGGTAAAAGGTGTTCTCTTAAACATGACAATAACTGATCTCATCTGATTGGATTTACTTTAAAAGTAAATAAAGTAAAATAGTTGTGACTGTACATAAGTCAAATTCTACATTTCTGCTTTAAAGTTTGGGGTCGGCACGTTTTTTTTAATGCTCACTAAGGCTGCATTTATTTGATTAAAAATACAGTAAAAAGAACAGTAATATAGCGAAATATTACAATTTAAAATAACTTTTCTATTTGACTAAGTAAATGTTATTTATTACTGTGATGGTAAAGCTGAAGTCTTCGGTGTCACATGTAGGGTTGCCAGGTATGCACAACAAAAGGAGCCCACGGCAACAATTTAAAAGTAGCGCAATTTCACAGGAAAACCATTAACTTGACAACACTGGTCACATGATCCTTCAGAAATCATTCATGCTGATTTGATGATTGATTGACAATTATAATTGATATGCTCAAGAAACATTTAATTATCAATGTTAAAAAGATAAATAAGTCAGATAAGTTTTGCTTCCCATATTTCGCAATAAACATAAAATACACTGATAAATAATCAATTAAAAAAAGATGGATAAATATATAACGTATGTAGAAACAATTTGATCTCGATTCAAATCAAAGTTTGTAATGGGATTCACTTCCTGACAGGTTGGTTTGAGCTCTATACGTTTTTGTCCGTCTGGGAAAATACTACTGCAAAAACTAAATAGAAATAAAAAACAAAAACAAACTGAATTAAAAATTTAGTTAATAATAAAAAATAAAAATAATACTTATAATTATTATGTTTATATTAATATATGATAATAATAATCTAAATTTAATAAAAACAACAATAAATATTATCTAATAATCTAAACATGTTTAATAAAATAATCTAAATAATAATAATAATAATCTAAATACAATATTAATAAAATAATAATTTGTTTTATTATTACCATATAATTATACTCTAAATTTACTACAACTGCTGATATTAATAATATAATCATTACTATTTGTATCATATAATAATAGTAATATTATATTAATCTAATCACAATAATAATAATAATAATAATAATTCTTATTATAATTAATAATAATAATAATTATTATTGTTATCATATAATAATCCAAACAATCTCAAAACAATTATTATTATTACTACAAATTGAAAATAAAACTGCAAAGCTAAAATCAGAGCTGCACAGCTACATTGAGGAAGTGTAAGCTGTTCAGGGATATTTCATGTCTCAGTAGTGGGGTCAGGAGGGCCGTTCTTTCACACCGGCAGAGCGCGTAAGCTTCCCCAGAGCACATGTACTTGGCTTATTGATCTGCGCCGGGTCTCTACAGCCCCGCTGTCGTAGTGTAAGACTCCTCTCAGCAGGCTAGCATTCACACCGAAATTAATCCGGTAGGTTGGGGCCTGGTCCACTCGCATGCTTTACACAGGCAAGAAAGTTAGTAAAAAACAGCCGTGATGCTTGCGTGTGTGTGTGTGTTCGGCACAACCTCTTAGCTGATACGCCGCAGCGCTGTTTGTATACACACCTACGGCTTTCGCCCACCCATTGTGTTCTCACTGCCTCAAGAGGCTCACAGCACTTCTTACATTCAGGCGCTGGTAAAAATCCTCTCAGCATTAGCATGATGTAGGTGGTCTTGCTGAACCAGAGCCTATCCATACACCTCCGTCCCTTTCAGAGGCCCGGGACGGAGCCCACAGCGGCACGCTAGCTCTGTATGCGACCCGCAGCGGTGTGGGGGCTCACCTGTAACTCCTTCTCGCCGTACTTGGAGGGGTTTTTGCTGCCCTGGCTCTTCCTCCGCAGTTTCTTCAGCTCACCCTGGCATTTCTCCAGACTCTCTCCTTTGCTTTTGTGCTCCATCTGGTACTTCTTAAGAGCCGCCTTCAGGAGAAAAAAACACAAGGAACACCGTCGGTAAATGCAGAATTCATTAGACTGTAGCTAATAAATTAAGAAAGACATGGGAGTCAAAACCCACTAGTCATGTCATGTTCCAAAACATTCACTATCTACACAAGCAGCTGCTCTCCTCAAGGCAAATCTTGACCGCAATGGACTGATTGTAAACGGCCTACATAAGCAAGACCTTTCCCAACCTGAGGGTCGCTAAAAGATTTACGAGGAGATTTATGCGGTCTTTCTTACCTCACTCTTGATTGAGGGTTAAGGCAATTGCACACTGTGTCTGAAATTTTCGAATGGGTTTTTTCGTATTCGCGATTCGTTGGCTCTGAACTGTCAAAACACCATTCAAACGGCTAGCTATGGATGCAAAAAACGCAGAAAATCCAACCCGATTCGATTTTTTTTTAATAAACGGCTTTTTTTTATTCAAACGGCTAGCTATGGATGCAAAAAACGCAGAAAATCCAACCCGATTCGATTTTTTTTTAATAAACTGCTTTTTTTTAAAAATTCAAACGGCTTGCTATGGATGCAAAAAACGCAGAAAATCCAACCCGATTCGATTTTTTTTTTATGACGGACGAAAGTTTTGGAGCCAGTGTGCAAAGCGTGATTGACATAACGTGAGGTCTTAATTTTTTAACGTGCGAAAATTTCGGACGCAAGGGCCTTCAGGGATTAAACGGTTTCCGGCTTGACGATAAACCACGGTGTAATTTTAGAAGTTTAATATAATCATTAAAACCGTATTTGATTGCCAGCATTTGAAAAACTCATGGTAAATATTTACAACATTCAACGTAGGTTTCACTTTGTTTGGAAAAAACGTCGGAAATAAGCGAGATGATTTCTGCTGTTCCATAATACTTGACAGTGTCGATTTACATTTTTGTGAAACTCAGACCACATTTTTATGTACTGTTGTAAATTGTAGCATGTTATTGGAAAATAAGCTAACGTGCATTCTAAAAAAACCACAACAAATATAACAATGAGAATATATATTATTATTATAATTGCTGTTGTTATTGTATAAACATTAGATCACAGTTAATTCTGATATCATAATTGTCAGATTCAGTTGTGAGTTAAAGGGTTAGTTCACCCAAAAATGAAAATTGTCATTAATGTCTTATCCTTTTTGTCGTTCCGAGCCCGTAAGACCTCCGTTCATCTTCAGAACACAGTTTAAGATATTTTTATTTAGTCTGAGAGCTTTCTGTCCCTCCATTGAAAATGTATGTATGGTATACTGTCCTTGTCCAGAAAGGAAATAAAGACATCATCAAAGTAGTCCATGTGACATCAGTGGGTTAGTCAGAATGTTTTGAAGCATCGAAAATACGTTTTGGTCCAAAAATAACAAAATCTAAAAAAAAAAATCCTTTATTCAGCATTGCACTTTCTTCCGGTTGTGTTGTCAATCTGCGTTCACGAGTCCACAGTAAGATGACGTAAGACGCTACTGACTTGTATCTGGTGCACCATGTATTCGGGTTCAAGTAAATATGGCCCTAAGACTGTAAACGAAGCTCGGTGCACCAGATAGACGTCTGAAAGCGTCTTGCATCATAAGCGTCACTGAACGCGGCTCGACAACAGAACCGGAAGACAATATAATGATGAATAAAGTCTTAATTTTTTTGTTATTTTTGGACCAAAATGCATTTTCGATGATTCAATACATTCTGACTAACACACTGATGTCACATGGACTACTTTGATGATGTCTTTATTTCCTTTTAAATCTATTTAAAAGGAAATTTAAATCTAAAATTTCTTAAACTGTGTTCTGAAGATGAACGGAGGTCTTACGGGCTTGTAACGACATGAGGGTGAGTCATTAATGACATAATTTTCATTTTTGGGTGAACTAACCCTTTAACAAGTCTGTAGACTGTGCTACTAAATAATTTTGATATTTTGATGAAATAATAATAATTCTTATTATTAAATAACTAATGAAGGCAGCAACAGCCTTGAAGTCAGGATCCCATGATGCCTTGAAAAGCCAGACAACTCACTGGGATCTGGAACAGAGCTGAAGGTCTGGGGTTTCAGGGCAGTGCATTCTGATGTCTGCAGAAGAAAGAAGGGAAGGCCTTCACTCCCAACCGCACAACATGGCTCACGGCCAAATTCTGGAGGCTGATACTCTTGGATGGGAACATTTCTAGATATAAAAATCTTCGCACATCCTACACAAGGTAGGTACGTCGAGAGAATGATCTCTAGACTGCACGTCTATAAATAGTTTGGCAGCTCAACCAGATTCTTGCACAGCAGGAATGTGTCTACAAAGACAGCATTACATGTGAGTGATGGAGCAATCGCTCTATCTTCAGCGAGAGAAAGGAAGTTTCTGCTTTGCCAGGCATGATCCCCTTTTCTCTCCACATGAATGATTCACAAAACACAACAGGAGTACATATAAACTAAGAAAGTGCTATGGATCATGATTTCTCTTGGAATACAAGAGAGAGCGTGTGGCTGGTTAACTTCAGTTAAAGGGTTAGTTCACCCCAAAAAATGAAAATCGTCATAATTTACTCACCCTCAAGCCATTATAGGTTTATATGGCTTTCTTCTTTCAGCCAAACACAGTTTGTATAGGTATTAGGCTCTTCCTAGCTTTATAATAGCAGTGAAAAGTACCTTGTTTTTGGAAGCCCAAAAAGCGCTTCCATCCATCGGGGAGTTAATAAAGCAAAGGGCTGCGCTTTTGTATGAAAAATATCCATGTTTATAACTTCATAAACCATAATTATTGGCTTCCGGTAGCGGCCATACTCAAGTCTAGTTCTGGTGGAAGAGTGACCTTTGACCCGACGGATGACGTAAGCTATAAGTGTAGGATGTAAGCGTAGCGTAATCTTAAGTGAGAGTCAAGCTCACAAGCTCAAGCTCTTCCGACATTTCTCTGTAAAAATTCTCGATTTGGCCGTTTTTCCGCGATCGTCAATGCGTCATACGTCGGGTCAGAGGTCACTCTTCCGCCGGAACTAGACTCGCGTGCGGAAGCCAGTGATTCTAGTTTATAAAGTTACAATTATGGATATTCTTTTGACAAAAACGCATTGATTTGCTTGAGAAGGCCTTTATTAACCCCCTTGGAGCCATATGGATTACTTTTATGATGGATGGATGCACTTTGTTGCGCTACAAAATCTCAGTTACTATTCACTCCCATTATAAAGTTTGGAAGAGCCAGGATCATTTTTTTTTATATAACTCAGATTGTGTTTGGCTGAAAGAAAAGAGTCAGACACCTAGGAAGCCTTGAAAGTGAGTAAATTATGGGAAAACGGTTTTATTTTTGGGTGAACTAACCATTTAATAGTTAATAGCACTCATATTTGATTTGTTGTGGGCAGAACAGAACACGCATTTGGAAACTTTGACACATATTTATACTTTGTCACAGAATGAATATCATTATAATCTTACAGACCAAATAAAGACTCCACAGCAGAAAAACTCAACATGTTTGCACAGAATGTGCAGAATGAGAAAAAAAAAATTTGTTTGGTTTCCAAGGGGAACGACTGCAGACCGCTCTCTCCAGAACTAAGGCAAGACAGCACGGCATTCATTTTATCTGAATACAATGTGATGACAAGTAGTCCCCCTTCCCCCCCCAATGAACTGCTCTACACAGCTCCTCTCCAACCCACTCACGCTCTAAAGATATCTCTCTCAGCACTGCTCCAAACACACTTTAATCACCCGCAAATTGTGTACTTACATTTGTTTAAAATAGTGGAAACGGGAATGATGGGAAAACGGGGCCATTGCTAAAAAAAAATAAAGCAAGACCAATGTATGAAGATGTAGATCTTCAAGATCTTTGGGTATGTTTGAAATGACATACTACATACTAAGATAGTAGTTAACAGTATATGTGTGTGTGTCTATATATATATATATATATATATATATTAGGGCTGTCAGTTTAACGGCGTTAACGCAAACCCATTTTAACGGCGTTAATTTTTTTATCGCGCGATTAACGGTCTTTTTGTCCTAGCAAACTTTGACGTTTTTTCACATGCTTTTGCAACAGGATCCATTTCGGCGTCTCGCGCTCGTCATCCACTCAAAGCCGGCTCGCAAGCCCAAACGTGTGTTTGCGGCATGCCTGTTGTTTTGTTTCCGTTCTAGCTAGATCCGCTTGCGCTTTGGTCGAAGAAGCAACAAAACGCCCTCGCGCAGCGCAAGCCATTGAGATGAATGGGTTCAGAGCGCCGCGCGAGGACGTTTTGTGCCGCACACACTCGTTTCGGCTTGTGAGCCGGCCAAATAGTAACGTTTCGTTTTGAGTGGATGACGAGCGCGAGACGCCGTAATGGATGCCCTTAGAAGATTCTGAATGGAAAGTTTACTTTTAAAAAGTTGCCAAATTGTCCCATTGACAAGACGAAGTGATCTGTGTGTTTTGTCGTTGTAAACTGAGCTATCATCATCGCAGCACGTCCAGTCTGAAACACCACTTGATGATGGCCAAGCACACTCACACACACACACACACACACAGATGATGCGAATTCTCCACCCCCTCGTCAATATCAGGACCTCGTCAGTATTTCTTTCACCCTTTTATTGATACAGTGTAACATAGTGTGAGAGATTATTTACTGTATATATGTTAGTGTGAAATTGAGCACTATTCCAATGTTATTTTCAATAATAATAATAAAAAAAACATTTGCCCTAAACAAGCCGATTCACTTTTCCATGTTGACAAGAGCATTAAAATGAGAAAAAAATAATGTAACAAAAAGAAATCAAAAGACATTTAGAATAGATAAAAATGTGCGATTAATCGCGAGTTAACTATGACATTTAATGCGATTAATCGCGATTAAATATTTTAATCGTTTGACAGCACTAATATATATATATATATATATATATATATATATATATGTGTAGTGTACACATTTTCTTCATGTATTATTCCTGTAGCTCAACTGGCAGAGTCCACTCTTAAACATAGGCGAAGAACATTTTAATAACCCTTTTCTACTATAAAGAACCTTTTTGTGGAATTAAAAGTCCTTCATGGAACCATCAATGCCAATAACCTTTATTATAAAGAGTGTGGCACTTCAATGGCACTTGAAACGCCATGGTTGTGTGTTTGAATGAAAGGAAACAGATTTACTGATCACTGAGTTGCTTTGGAAACAAGAATCTGCCAAATGCTGAAATATAAGGCAGCGGCTTTAAACACTAAGTACAAAAGGTGACAGATTATATTTACATTATGTAAATATCTGTATTGTCTTTGCAATAAGTGTAAATAGTAGTTAGATGCTGTTTATATTTATAAATAGTGGCAGAAACTATTTGCACCTCACTGTTGTTGTACATTAAAAGGTATTAAATAATTACAGTGTAAATGATTATATTTATTAAAATTATTAAATGGATGCTGGTTTATTGGGATAATAAAGCCGTCTCTACACCTAGGTTAGGGGACCGGTAAGCACTTTATTTTTGAACACACATTACACGTAATTTTTTATTGAAAATAAATGCCTTTCTGATCTGAAATGTGATGGGAAAAGGGAGTAGAGCGAGTTCGGCAAAAGGCGGATTTGAACTTGGGTCAATTTGCGTTTCCAAGTGACCCAAGCTAAACATTTTTACCATGCATCTTAACCCTACACTATCGCTATTGTTGATAATTCAGTGTCCTCTGTAATTTTGTCTGGCCCAGGAGACGTCAGTGGGCGGAGTTAGTGTATAGCCTCGGTCAACAAGGCGGGCTGTTTGCACTTAGTGTATAACTGTAAATATAAACTGTTTGCAAATTGCCTTTTACATTTGCCAAAACAGCAAAACAGTAGCAGCAAAGTCATCCAGATTTTTTACATATTTTTGGCTCCATATTTTATTAGACTGCCAAAAGGCAAGACAAAATTTGACTCAAAAATGCTAAATAACCCTATTTAAGTACATGATAAGCATAAGAGACTTCTATCAAAAACCCGAACTGAGGAAAACGTTGAATGGTAGTACTGTAAATGTCTGAAATGGTACCTGGATGCCATGTGTGGCATTAGAGATACAACATACCGAAGCATCCGAAAAGTCTTTATACCATTAAAGTCAACCTAAAATGCCATTTTCAATCCAAAATCTGATGCATTTCCAACTGAAACAGGGCGGATAAAAAAACGTAGATTGGTTTTATTGATCAGACACTAAATGGATTGTGAAAAGTGTGTGTTGGTTGTGCCAATCAGTGCCCAACAGAGGAATGTGTATTACTAAAGTAGAGGAGAAGCACTTCTGTTCAGTGTTAGTGAGCTCAATGTGTATCTCGTAAGGAGTGGGATGAGGTGCGGACTCACAGTCAGGTATCTCGCGTCCAACTCCACCTTCTTCTCCAGCTCTGACAGCAGCTCGTTGTGGAAGCATTTTAACTGCAAAAAAAAAAAAAAAAAAAAAAAAGCAGAAAAACTGAGTGAAATTCGTTAAATTGACTTTTTATTAACCTGAAAGCACAGATTTGTGCAGATTATACTATGATATATGGGTTCAAATACACAATCGAATGCATTTCTAGAATAATGTTGATGAGCACAGAGCACATCACAAAAGAAAATGAAAAAACTTCAAAAGTTACTTTATTTTAAGGTGTCTTTGTTACAGTGCAATTATACATTTTAGCACCAAGTAAGATTACCATACATGTAGAGATAGGGGCTGTTTACACGACAAGTTTATGAAAATGATACCGTTATCGTCCCAGTGTAAACTACAAAAACATGAATCTGTGAAAACTGTCAAAACATGTTTATTACGTGTTCAGTGTTTCTTTACCAAGTGACATCGCCAACTACTGGCCTGGAAGAATTATACAGCGTTTTTATTGGTTTTTAAGGATCTGTGTGAAGTGTGAACAGGGTTTGTTTTACACCATTGTCACCTGTACGTGAAAAATGTACTGTTTTTTTACTGTTACATTTACTGTTATTAATACAGCAATTACATGTAACAAGTCACCTTAAAACAAAGTGTTTCCTGCTGTGGTTACAGTAACATCTCCAACTGAACTTTAAATTCAAGGACCTTTCAAGGACTTTCCAGGTTCAATACCCTCAAATTGAAGGACTTAATGTGGGACACATCTGTTGTCCAACAAATAACTCTGAGGTTCCATCGAAGTAGTTTTGTGCGCACTTGAACCTCATGGCAACATACAACACAAAGCACCTCAGGCAGAAAACACTTAAAGGGATACTCCACTTTTTTTTTTTTTTTTGGAAATAGGCTCATTTTACAACTCCCCCAGAGTTAAACAGTTGGGTTTTACCGTTTTCAAATCCATTCAGCCAATTTTCTGATATTTAGAAGAATATCAGTCACCAGACAGTTTCTGGGCTCATTGACTTCCATAGTAGGAAAAAAAATATACTATGGAAGTCAATGAGACCAGAAAATGTCTGGTTACTGATATTCTTCTAAATATCCAAAAAAATCGGCTGAATGGATTCGAAAACGGTAAAACTCAACTGTTTAACTCTGAGGGAGTGATAAAATGAGCCTATTTCCAAAAAAAGTGGAGTATCCCTTTAACGTAACGCGTAAATGCATGTAACTAATGTAAATCAAGCAAGCTAGTATGCAAAGGCCACGAATTGTTGGCAAAATATTAATATTAGCCTATATAAAATACAAATAATATGGATTTTATTCCAGATAACAAATTCAAGCACTTTCAAGGACCTATATCTATGTATATTTCCTTTCAAAAACTTTCCAGGGCCTTGACTATCTTTTTTTTCCAGATTCATAAACTTTGAAGGATTTCAAGGACCTGTGGGAACCCAGTAAAGGTTTTTACAGTAGAAACATTGATTTTGATTAAGTGGTTACATTAATTATCCAATGAAAACATCTTTATTTCAACTGCAAACTAATAAATCCTCCTTTTGATGCAATTCCTATGGGTGGAGTTTGCTTTACAGCTAAAGTTAGCCGTTTAAACTTGAATTGAATCTGTGAACATGTCAAAACCTGTTGCAATGTAATTATGCTAAATAATCATTTAATAAATAGGAGAAATGGACTGTGTGTGAGAAGGGTACACACCATTTCCTCTAACTGCACTTGAATCTGCCGGTGGACCTCTGCCATCTGGAAAAGCACGTCCCCTGCAGAGAAGAGGGACAGACGTCCGTTAAGAGAGAGGACAACAGGAAGCGGACTCATAATCATGTGATTCAAGTGAGGGGGAAAAAAAAAAAAAACGTAGTTAGGTTAAAGAGACTGATCTAGTTAGGGTGGAGTAGGCAAGAAAGATAGATAGATAGATAGATAGATAGATAGATAGATAGATAGATAGATAGATAGATAGATAGATAGATAGATAGATAGATAGATAGATAGATAGATAGATAGATAGATAGATAGATAGATAGATAGATAGATAGATAGATAGAAGAAGAGAAGCAAGATAAGTCCCACGTGCATTATAACCATGCCATCGCACTGAAGACACACTACAGACGGGCAAACATGGGGACAATGACACAGTCAAAAGACAAAACACTGAGACCGAGACATGAACGACAGAATGAAAAGGTGGAGGTCAAACAAAGACACTCGGATGAGCAAAAATACAAAGCATTTCAAAACAGGTTAACATTTCAGTGTATAGGACAGGAATATTTCATCGCAAAATGAAAATTCTGTCATTATTTACTCACCATATGCTGTTGTTTTTTTCTGTGGGAAGCTATCATATGACTTCAGAAGACTATTGCACTTTTAATGGTGGTTTTTGGGGGAAATTTGACAGGCATGGTCACTTTGAACTACTGTGTGTGTTCCACAGAGAAAAATAACAGCATATGGGTTTGATTGGGAATGACATGAATGTCAGTAAATACTGACAGGATTTACATTTGAGTGAAGTGTTCATTTCATCAAAACCAAAAGAAATCTTGACTAAATCAGTTTCATTTGTCTTAAAAAAAAGTTAAAAAAAAGTTCTTAAAGTGCTTCTCCTGCAGGATGACTGCCAGAATGTTGTGAAACTTATTGCAGAAGAGTAAAGAAAACAGGAAGAAGAAAAAAAAAAAAAAAGGCCATGCAGCTGGTGGAAGTTGTTTTAATATACCTACATGCTGCTGCTTCTGAATATGCAATGCATTGTGAAGAAAGGAACAGACAGTGAGCAGAGCACAGAGAAGACCTTTAAAAAGAACACACAGCAATGGAAGACAACAGCGAGCCGGCCTGACCTCCGCCCATCTCGGCACGCCAGCCTAAAGCGGATTTAGCGTTTGCGCGTGCTTGAACACTTTGGACTGACTGTTAAACCGTCAAGTATAGTGTAACACACATCGGATCCCCGGTCGTTTGTTTACACCACATACACATGATTGAAGAGCTCTCGCTGAAGAGTACAAAGCACTGGGCTCAGAAAAGCAGTCTGTTGTTTACTCCTGGAGAGATTAATGATGACCAGTTCGACCAAAAATTAAAGTAGGTCCTCATTCATTCATTCATCTTCATCATCATATCCCAAACCCGTTTTCCTTCCATGGAAAGCAAAAGGAGATGTTTAGCCGTAACCTCTTTTCCATAACCCTAACAAAAGCAGAAAGTGCTCAGGGCTGTCAAGCTCTAAAAAGCGGGAATGTACTACTGGTTGAACAATGGATTTTTTTGATAGCTGATCCCACCATCTTTGAGAGCTTTCTATTACATTTAGGTAGCACCCATATACATACTTGCTATAGTAACTACAATAACTGAGTAATAATTACATACCAACCCGGAACCTACTTCTAAACCTACCCTTTACCCATGTAGTTACCCTGTACTTTCTAAGGTAAATTCACTGTAAGTACATGTAAGTGCACCTACTGTAAAATAAAGTGCAACTGAAACGTATATGTATTTTACTCAATATTTACTAAATTAAAAATCATTTTAAAATGATAATAAACATGCAAAACAAATAAAGAAACTGTTAAAAACAAGACTAAAAGGCAAGTCAACACTGTAACCAATAATACACTTTTGTGCGCTTAGTATTTAGTATTTAGTATTATTAGTATTATTATTAATAATACTAAATCTGTGCGCGCCGCACTGGTAATCATATTTTTTTCAAATAAAAGAGCAGTAATGCTAATTTTACATACAATACACAGGGACTATAGACCATTTCACAAGATGTAAACAACACTGGTCCAGAAGCACTTCCTGTTTCAGTTTTTTAACACTACATAAAAGCTGAGATAAATTACAACCAACAGAACATATAAAACTGAATCAAAAAGTTAAACAAACATCTTTAAGATGTTTTCTTTACATGTGAAATAAAGAAAGCAGTTACAAACTGAAACAGGAAGTGTTTCTGGACCAGTGTTGTTTACATCTTGTGAAATGGTCTATAAAATTAATATGGCATACTGGCCAACTGGACATAGTGCAGCACAGTTTGAAATCAAGGATAAAGTTACTATTAGACAGAACTGTTAAACAAAGACATTAAACTAATGAAGACAGAGAATGGAGGCTCCCGAATGTGTGCTGTCAAAATAAAAGCCCCGGTACTGTCATAATAAAAGTCTAACACTTATCAAACAAACAGAAAAAACATTTTATTCAATACAAAACTTTAAAAAAAAGCCAAATATTGACCTTTGGTTGCTAGTAATTAACGCACATCCTGATTTTGCCGACTTAGACTCAACATATTTTGTTGATAATGTAACAACATTCCTTTCCGAAGATGGAGTCCTATCCCTCTACCCTTAAACCTAACCCTTCACCTAACTTATTCCTAAATTCTGAGGGAAACTATACTTTTATGTAGAAGCACGTAACCCTGTTAAACTTGACATGTTAATCTTCCAGGAACACGTTAAACTTGATGAATGCAGGTTCTGCAGTACACATAAAATAAAAGTCCCATATTCCCAGTCGTCAAAAAGACATTTGATAACTTTGTGAGAAAAAAAACAGACCCAAATTCAAGTCATTCAATGAACATCTTGTTCTCTATTGAAGCTGAAGATTTGTGCTACCAAAAATTCTTGGCCATGATCTGTGTTTGTAGTCACTGATCAAGCTATGGATCCTTGTTAACTTTGAATGTGAAAACGTGAAAGAGATTTAACTTCTATAGAGGAAGGGGAAGTTTTTTTTCCTCACACAGATCTGTCATATGACCTCAGAAGACTGGGAATATAGTGTACAAGTCGCACTGATCATTAACAAAAACATAAGTAAATGGACGAATTACCCCTCTCCATACAACTGTTACAGGCCACTAGTTTAAGTTGACCCTGTAATCTTAATTATGATCTATACTGTATATGCATGTACTGCCAGACAAAAACAATCATTCAGCCAAGTAAACACAGTGTGAAAAAGCTGTACAAAACAAGAACAAAAACAAGCTAGACTCAGAGGGAACAGAGGGAACAAGGTACTACTTTAATAACACAAAATTGTTCATTCCTTCATTTATTAATTTTCATTCCATTTCCCGAATGTAAGAAAATGCAAAATAATTCACACACTTCCATTCTCATCATAAGCAGCTTATTGGAAACATTACTTTAACAGTGATGATAAATCAGAGGACAATCAAATCACAAGAGTGAAACCGGTAGCTACAGTATGTGGGCGGTTGATGTGCGATGCTTTTTATCCGTCCTGGGCATAAATGCTGTTAATAAAATGGTGGGTAACATTTTACAATATTCCTTCATTAACATTAGACATATCCTTACAATGATCGGTTTTACAGCATTATTAATAAGGGTGAATGTACAAATGTGAACTTAATATTAAAAATGAACTAGTATATAACATTAATAAAAATGGTTTCGCGTTCAAGGCACAGTATGTAAGTTTCACCACTAGAGGTCGCTTATTCAAAACAATAACAAAGATGTAGCTTGATGAGACCGTGATGGAGTGTGGAATCATGGGAGTTGCAGTGTTCACCTCTACGACAGTTGTCTTTATGGGTTTATCAGAGCCCACAGCAAACGATTATGAATAATTGTGGTCCATCGCAAATTTGCAAAACAAACAACCCTAGTTTGACGTTACCTGTGATCGTCGGCTTTGACGCTGCAACTACTACTTGCGCATTTTTTTTTTAATTGGTGCAGAATGATGAAATCATGTAATCCCCTCCTGGACAAACCATCAAACCAGACTTTAAAACAGCGTTAGTCTGCAGCCTAAACCGATTAAAGGGAATCAGCCGTGCTTACAAACTAAAGAGTTTTTTTTTGAGTGGTCTTAGTGCTGGGATCAATTAACATGCAGATGCACACTACAGCCACACAGTTGTCACACTTCTTCTAGTCCTTAATCTCATTCTCTACACACAAAGTTCAGTTATTTACGGAAGTGACAGCTAAATTACCTCTGCAAAAATTCAGGTCATCTGACCAATCTAATATTATTTTGGTCAGAATAGTTGTTTAAACAGTTGGCATTCTAGTCTACATAAAAGGGTTCAAATATAAACACTACCAAACTACATGTGGTGATGTAGGGGTTGTTTAAATTCTTTTTTTATAGACTTTCTGACTCAACTAATCACTGCAACTCTCCATCTGTGATCCTTGGAGAGTCTTAGACACTTAGTCTTTTCTCCTCACCGTGCATTAAGACCTATATCGTCTTAATGCACTGTGAAGAGGAAAGATTGAGTGACACGTCCTCTTCCAGAAAGATCCGTAACATTTCCTGTTGGTTGATACTTCTTAACCCTCTGGGGACTAAGCCCTTTTTGGTCCGTTTTCTCTATTTTTACATTTGGGCTTATAAACTACAGCATATGTAATGGAGATGAAACACTATGTGCTTGGTATTTATGGATTCAGAAGACCCTAAGCTAACAACAATCTCAACAATCTATTTCCTCGCATCAGAAGTATATTATTTGGCTTTACTCATTGCGATTGATGATTAAGGACATTTGGCCTTAATATTTTCTCATATTAATACACCTCTTTAAGTCATAGCTAGACAATTTCATGGTCCTAGTCACCCTGTTGTGCTAAAAAATTTAATATAAATGGGATTATACTTCAGAGAAATTTTACTTATTACAGATTCTAGTGGTGCCATTATTGGATCATTTTATTGGCCATTATTTTGGCCAACATGCATT